ATGTATATATAAAACATATATCTCTATATATATATATATATATATATATATATATATATATATATATATATTCATTTATTTTGTGATAAGAGTGCCTGAGTGATCTTTAATTAAATAATTGATGAAACTAATTTATAATCTATCTATTTATTTATTTACCATTTATTTGTCTTTTGCTAAACCTGTCAATGGTGAAGAGTTTAATTATTAAGAATGAATAAATGAATGAAAGAATAAATAAATAAATAAATGAATGAATTAAGTTATTATTTTCAAATTTGCACAAGCACAGGATAACTTTGACTAACATTAACTGCAACATAATATGGCACATATTTACATATTGCCACAAAAAAAGTATTTATATATAAGAATAATGTAAACTCAAAGTCTTACTGTCTCTTTCTTGGGCCGTGAGGTCAGGGAGACGGAGGACATGTCGTCGTGGCAACAGCAGCGTCTGAAATGGCCAAGTCGCCCAATACGGCACCACCACCAACCAGTGCTCGTTTTCCACTACCACACGCTCCTGTGTGAGCAGAGACCAAACAGTTAATCAAGTACAAATAATATATCACGCTAGTTATTACAATTTCCAAAGACCAAGGATGATGTTTCACCTTAGCTATTCTGAATGCTATTGAACAACACTTTCCAAACATGAGACTCTGAAAGCAGTGCTAATGTAGCTTTAAAATCAATCACATAATATATACTTACAAACATGAATACTTAGCACATTCAAGTGCACACTCAAGTGCATTTTAAATGTTTTTTTACACATTTAAAACGAAATGAAGATTACTAAGTGATGCCAGAAATCTCAATTTTGGGTGAACTATCCCTTTAAAGTGACACCATTGCATTGTGTGTCTTATGGACGCCAAGGCTGACTAAGTGACCGAATAAATTCAACGCATTCGTGATTCAAAATATATATTCTGATTCACAAATGCTCAGCTCTTCAAAATGACAGACATACAGAGTCGTCTTCTGTGTACCAGTGAGCTTTGCACAGTTCAATTTTGGCTCATTCGTCAATGCAAATGCATTCAAACTTCACAAGATTAGTTGGATGGACTCTGTGGACTGTAATTTTCAGCTCATTCTACAGCAGGATTCAAGGACTCTGGCTTGGCCATTGCTGAATACCAACTTTCTTTTGTTCAAGTTATTTCTTCATAGTTGTATTGTGTTCACACACATCTCTGGCAGACTGAATCAGGTTTTCCTGGAGGATCTGCCAGTATCTGACTCTATTCTTGTTGCACTCGATGACTTCAATTGTGTACGTTTGTATGGTAAGGGAAATATATAAAGCGTTTTAAGAAAACAAATGTGGAATTCAAAGCCAAAAAAGCTTATCTATTGACCAAAAAAGCATAATTCAGAAAATAACTCCGGACCACTTTTTAAAATAAAGTAATGCCCAGGTGAACATTTTTGAATTGTAACATCAGTTTTGTATTGTTAACATTACCATTAACATTAGTTGACCATTCAATTTGGTTTGCGCTATAGCCAGCACTTTGCTTTCAGGTCACACAGTTCAAATAAAGAGTCATCAAGACCACAAAATGTCCTTCCAAACGTTTTCAGGTTTCATTAAATGACTTTTAAACTCTAGACATGACTCAGTGCTGGTCTTAAAAGCTGTTTCTTCTAAACAGTCACCAGAAGTGCTGAAGATATTGTTGATGTCTGGACACTTTCTCTCATTTCAGCCAAAGAGCTCTGAAAGGCTGTCAGTGTTATAGCTGGACTCTCGCTCATGTCTTTGCAATTGCTCCACTTCTGGTAGCTCATTTTGGCACGACAGCTGAACGCAGAAGTGTCTGGTTTGTGCCACATATTTGTTACACTGTGTTACACTTTCTAATGTTTCTGAAATAAGGTTAACACCTTTGCCAAATGTTTTATAACTGTCTCCAGCTTTCTTCCTCCTGTAAACTTCATTGTGACAACTGGGCCTTTGTGAAACCTCATGTAAAATAAAAATCTGTACCATCAGAACCACCAAAAACTCCTCTTCCATTGTGCAATGGTTATGTGAAATACTAACCAAAATATAGCTGCAAGCAGCAAGCACGTAACCACGTAGATCATAGATGAGCAAGACGGTTGGGTATGTTTTCAATAAAGCAGAGGGAACAAACCAAAAATAAAATGTATTTATTTAGTTTTATTTAGAGACTCTCTTCAGTAAACCACTGTTTAATAACAAAAAAGTCTGTCACTGCTGCTGCAAAAGGTTGTAACACTCTTCATACTGCAGTTTATGGCATCGTTGTAAACTGGGGAAGATATTTGAAGTGCTTCCACTTTTGGATACAAAATATTTTAGGAAAACGTATCTTTTAGAATTGTTGCGGTTTCATTCTATTGTGCTCTGTCTGTTTTACTGACAGCCGTTCCTTCAGTAAAATCTGTGAATGGATACTTGCTGTAAGGATGAGCCTTTTTGCAAAGTGGAAATACTGGTGTGACTCTCTCACATTTACAAATAAGGATGCAACCACAAGATGTAAGTTAAGCGCTGAGGAAAACATACCTCAAATGCATTAAACATCACACGCATCTGACAGGAGAGCAAGTTGCTTTTAAACTGCGTGCTTTCAATTTAGTTTGAAGCACTAAACAAAGTAAGTCTCGTTTTTAGTAAAACTGGGATTGTGCACTTTTCCACAGCAGTTCACTTATACTATGTATACCTTACAATAGTGCTGTGTGATAAAATTAATGTTGATAATGATAATAAGCTTGGACAAGCTCAAAACGTTTCAGACCCCGTTTACACCTTGTGATCAGATTGAGGAAAATGCATCTTTATACCGGGTGTAAACAGCCCGAGAGACACTTTTCATCTTTTTGTTTGTGAAAAACTACTATCAAATACACATTGAAACTCAAAGATCTTCATGACAAACCGCCAAAATAAAAGTTTGGTTTAGCTTGAGGAAATTATGACAGAAATATATTACCACTGTATGCTAAAATGTACTTCTCATAGTAATAATAGTATTTTTATTTTTAAGGAATATCATACAATCAAGATTTTTTTCAAGATATCTTTGTTTTGTTTCTGAAAAACTACCGTCAAATACACATTGGAACTCAAAGACCTTCATGACAAACCGCCAAAATAAAAGCTCGGTTTAGCATGAAGAAAGTTTGACAGAAATACATTACCATTATATACTAAAACGTACTTCTCAAATTAATAGTATTAGTATTTTTATTTTTAAGGAATATCATACAAGCGAGATATTTTTCATCCATGTGTTCATTTATACAGTTCTGTTGTACAGCATCTCATTTGAGAAAAAATAAAAACGCAACGTTTAGTTGTAATCAAATGGAAATATAACAATTCATTTACATTTAAAAGACTGATTTGATTGTTTCGTAAAGTTTTATTAAATCACTTATTAGGCACCATTTGTGATGATACATCTGTATTAAATTGAAAAAAAAAAACATAATCTAAAGAAAAATAAATCAGAAAAACAAAAATATATGGAAAAATAAAATTGATTTCATGGGGCCCTAAATTAAAAGGCAGCGGAAAGCATTACATTCTCCATTAATAGTGAATGAATATTGTGTTAAATATCGATATCATATGATATGGGGAAAAAATATTGAAATAATATTATTTTAATTAATTAATTATTTGATTAATGCTAAACTCTAAAGGACGGTGGTCCTCCAGGAAAATTAAGGGGTGGGATCTGTTGACTTTGGCATTGTGTGACCAACTAGCAACCAGCCAGAATCATGAATTATACCCTGACCATTACTCTTGTCTTGTAGATCTGATCAAGGGCCGACTCTACTGGGTGGATTCAAAGCTGCACATGCTTTGTAGTGTAGACTTGAATGGAGACAACCGCCGGAAGGTGCTTCAGTCACCAGACTACCTGGCCCACCCTTTTGCCCTTACTGTTTTTGAGGTACACCAACTAGATCAATTGCATATGCCAAATACAATGGATCACCCAGCCCTACATTAAAAACAGTTTCTAAATAAATTCTGCACATGCAATTGTTAAACCAATGCTGTATTTGCTTCAAAATTGATGATTATCAACTAGTTTTTGGGAAGTCACACCAAATTACATTTTACAGCCTGAACTAACTTTGTCTTGTCATAAATGTTAAATTATCTAATATTTTATAAGATTTATTGATCTCGACAGTCATGGAGGTCTGCATACAATTTCTGATGCATTTTTTTATTTTATATTTCTTTTTTTCCCCATGTTTCTGTTTTTGTTTGTTTGTTCGTTCATTAATTTATTTATTGTGGTGCACCACATAAATATATTTGATACACCCTTTTATTGAACAATTTATTTGTATTTATTTATTTATTAATAAATATATAAACCATCAAAACCACTTAATATGTCGAATTCTATTCTTTTAATGAGGCTTTTTTCTTCACTCTGATTTGCGGACCATTGTATCAACACGACCCACAAAAATATAAATCTTAATTTAAATTCACATATTAAAACATGCTTATCATAAACTAAGTCACCTTTTGTGTGCATTTAATAATTGAGATATTTTAAAATAAAGGAATAAAGAGGACAAAAAAGAAAGCGTTTTACAGTCGTCTTTTGTCCCTCGTCTCAAAAGCCGTGAACTTAATTTCTCAGCAACTGAACGGATTTAACATTTCAATTATTCAGCATATGCCAGTGCCACTGTTCTTCAGTGCTTTGAGTTTTGCGGCTAATACATATGTCAAATTATTCATGAAAATCTCATAGCGCTGAGATGTTTTCCCTTAACTAAACTAAACTTAGAGCAACTGCTGTCTGCTTTTGGTACAAGATGTTCTTACATGCACCATGACAATAATCTGGGAGCAATCTCTCCACAATGCCTCGCTGTTTGCTGCACTGCTGACAAAAACAGCACGTAAGCATTTGGCGCATGTATTGTTGCTCAAGCCATGATAAATTTCCACCAAAAATTGACAGGAATGTCAACTATGAGCACAAGTATCATGTTTTTCCAACACAAAAATAAGTGAAAACTTGCTCCAGATCACTGGCAAACTGAATGAAGATGTCGTACACACACTGAGTCAAGAAGCTCAGATCAGAGCGAGTCACATGAGAGAGACGCCGCTCAAGTGATTAAACATTTAACAGAAGCCGCTCTGTTACACGATGTGACTACACAACCGACGATTATTAAATCGCCAATTAGGCCCCATTTACAAGTACATTATTTAACTATTTTCTGAGCGAGAACATTAGCATTTTCACAGAAACTACACTTTTGAGGGGTCTAGCAGTGACGGTGGACGGCAGGAACTCTGGTTTATGGATGAGTCATTATCTTTTATCCAAACGCACTTCCATCATCAGATGATCTTTTTTACAATCCACTTGCAGATTCAGCATGAACTCCGAGAGCTCTCAGATCTAACATTTTAGTCACCACAGTTTCACATCATTCCATGCAAGGCACATGGAGTGAAAACCATGATGGATGAAAATGCTCATTTATATT